AAGTGAAATAAAATAGAGGCAAGCATTGTGACACAACGTGTTAAGCCACCACTTAGAGTGCATCCCATGTCAGAGTGCCCCTTAGAGTCCCGGCTGCTGCATTTCTCATCCAGCTCCCTTCTAAGGAGTAAACCACTTGATATGTAAATGCAAAAATACCCCCCCACACACACACACACTCCCTCTCTCCCCTAAATCTAATTGAGATGTGTTGTTGAGTATAAAATACAAACTGGATCTCAAACACATCAAAATATACAGTGCCATCTAACTATAGCATGGTTCACTAATTTTAACATGGATATGCTGAGGCAATAGTTTATATGTATTAGATTGGATGAGTATGTTATTCAAATCACTTTTACCTGTTTTTCTATTTACCTTGATAACATGGCTAGTGGAAAATTTAAAATGTTATAGGTGGTTTCATGTTGTATTTTGCAAATACTCAAATTATTTATGCTTGCTGCAGAATTGTAATACTGTGAAGGTAGCATCCAACTACTACTCCTTAAAGACACTATAAAGAATTTTTTTGTTAGAAGAAGAAATAGTAGTAAAATAGATAGTAAGAATACTTTCTAGGAAAGTTATTTTGAAAATAGACCACCTGAAATGACCTTCCCAACTCTCCATTACTTCTGGGACAGTTTGACAGACAGACTGTGGGAGGCTTACTCACTTCAGTATTGCTGGACAGTCCAGATTTCTTGGGAGATTAGTCCAGCCTGAGTATCACTAATGCACGCATCCAAACTCTGAAACCCTGAAAACATTTCAGATTTTGGAACACTTAAGACTTATCCACATAAGTGTGCTTCCAATCTGGGTCAGGAAATCAAATATTACTTTCAGTATTACTAGTGCCCCTTTTAAAGACAATTAAATTGATTGAATAATTATAGGGACATAAATTTAGGACACTTGACATAGAACTAGATGATTACTAAAACTTTTAGGGGTGGATATTTGGCACTGCAATTAGGATACTGTAGTACTAGGATGCCCACCTCCCATGTCTTAGTACCTGCTTCAAGTCCTGGCTACTCTGCTTCTGATTCTAACTTCTGCCAGTGTACGTACACTCTAGGTGGAAACAGGTATGGCTGTGAGACTTGGGTCCCTGCTGTACACATGGCAGATCCAGATGGAGTTTCCGGCTCGTGACTTGGGTCTGGCTTCAGGTTTGATATTTGGAGAGTGAACCAGCAGCAGACTGGAGATCTCTCTGTTTCTGTCTTCTGCCAACCTACATTTCAAATAAGAAAAATTTTTTTAAAGATGTATTTATTTTTATTGCAAAGTCAGATACAGAGAGGAGAGACAGAGAGGAAGATCTTCCGTCCAGTGATTCACTCCCCAAGTGAGCACAACAGCTGGTGCTGTGCCGATCTGAAGCCAGGAGACAGGAGCTCTTCTGGGTCTTCCATGCAGGTACAGGGTACCAAGGTTTTGGACCATCCTCAACTGCTTTCCCAGGCCACAGGCAGGGAGCTGGAGGGGAAGTGGAGCAGCCAGGATATGAACCAGTTCCCATATAGGATCCTGGCGCACAAGGTGAGGACTTTAACCACTACGCTATCATGCTGGACCCAGCAGAAATATTTTTTTAAAAAATCTTTAAAAGATTCCTTGAGAGATCATAAAATATGTACCAGGGATAATAGAGAATTAGCAGTTACTGGAAACAGATCTAGCACTTCCAAATAGAGCTGGTGAGGTGACTCTGGGCCATGTCACTCGCAGACATGTTCTGTGCTAGTATCAGTAAGTAGTCAAATAATGAAATTAAATCATATTGTTAATGCCCATTTTTCTCTCTGCCCCATGAGTTTATTTTCTGGCAAATATTACTTTAGGTACCCATGTTAGTGTGGGTTTAATAGCACTCGGTAGCAATGCTTGTAATTCACATTCACGTTTTGAAATAAACCCCTTGTATTTAATAATCTTGGAATGTATAGTTTGAATGTTTAAATAATGTGTTTCGTTTTTTTAGTTTTGAATTGCTGTTTGGGCTATTTCATTGATGCTTGCTTGCATTCTGGAAAATAGTACCATAGTTATCTCAGATGCGAGCTGTCTTTTGCCTGCTTGTCTCTTAATATTCCAAGTACCTTTTTATGCTGTTACTCCAGTCCAATCTCCGTTCTAATTGTAGTTCCAGAAATGTCAGATCTAGTGACATTTAAATCACTTTTGTCTTTGAAGGCAGGACTCTCAGCAATTTCTGCCTTTCTTGTGAGGGTGAGCATGTGATAAGGGACTAGACCAAGAACTTGCTCAGCTGTTTACTGAGAGAAATGTATGGCTTCAATACACGAGTCTTTTGAACATCCATTTGTTTCTGCTTTCAAGCTTTGATTATAACAGATATATCATATGGCAAATAGTAAATGTGGGAATTGAAACACTGTAGTTAACATGAAAGGAGAAAAATAGAAAATAAAGTGAAAACAGGAAAAAAGCTCAGCCTTCCTTGTGGGAAATACTAAATCTGTGTACTTGGTGATCTCATTGTTAGAGCATTGAGTTAAAAATTGGGCTTTTGATCATAATAGAGAAGAATGAAATAATAAATTAAGGTGGAAACAGAGATGAAAGGGCAGCTTCTAATAAGTTGAGAAAGTTGAGGTAAACAGTAAAAGGAGAGATAAAGCTTGTAAGCTTTTCATAGAATCAGGAGGCAGAACATTCTTGTAGGGAGAGAAACAGTTGCAGGCATTTTGACTGATGCTGTCTTGCCCAGCCTGGTCTTCCAGCACACTTATTAACAGCCTTTCTTGTGGCTATGCCTTCCCAGCACAGACCCTGCAGCTGTATCCCACTTCACTCTTCTGCAGGGCCTTCCCAGTTGTTTTTGAATGTAGAGGCATCTTTCCTGTCCCTCTCATCTCCTTTGCAGCTGACATTGAGCCCTGTTAGCCTATAGCACCACGTGCTGTGCACTACATAGTCCTTTCAATCCAGCCTCTCATGTGAATCTTACTGCTGCCCTTTGGAGTTGATTAGTAGACTCTGTCACTATTCCCACTCATTGGCTGTAAGGAAGCCATTTGTAAAAGTGAACATCCAGCCATCAAGTTGCAGAGACAGGTAGGACTAGCACCAAGTTTTCTGATTCTGGATCCTGTGCATTTCCCATCACTGTCACTTGCACAACAAATACTTCCTTTAAAAAGCAAAGGTAGGGAGAACCTTTTATTTGCCAGGGGCAATTTGGATATTTATGACATCATTCACAAGCCATATAAAATTGTCAACTTAAAAAGTATCTGCTATAGATTTATTAAATTTTGAGTTCCACCTGCAGCTGCCTTGACAGGGGCAGAGCAACTGATTTCATGGGTCTAATATGGCCCACAAGCCAGATATTCTCCAGTCCTGCTGTAAATTAACAACAAAAACAGACAAGTAAAATCTTTGACCCTGCCACCTCTTTTTTTAATGACAGATTCTTCAAATGTGATCAGACTGAAACCCAGTGTGGCATTCTGACAGTATTGCTGACTTCAAATCAGGGAGGCTAGAGTTCAAAGCCTACCCCATGATAGCTATGTTATCTTTAACTTTTGTCTAAACTTTGGTTTCTTCAGTTGTAAAAGACTTACCTGTTAGGGTGGTTGGGATATTAAAATACAATGATCATTAAGTACTTAGCTCAGTGAGGGGTGTGCTAAACTTTATTTTTAAATTTTTATTAATTAGAGTAGATTTCATTTCATAGAACACAATTATAAGATAACCATATTTCTCTCCCTTCCTCTCTCTGTCCCTCAAAACCTGTCCTTCCTTCCAATTTAAGTTATTATTATATAATCATCTCGTGAATATTAACTTTGACCTTGACCTCATAGGACTTGGTCTTACCCGGAATGCTCACATTCTGTTACAGTTGAATCTTGCTGACCTTTCTCAGCTTTCATTCATCTTTGATCACTCATCTACTAATTCCCCATATTCTCTTAACTTTCATAATATTGTCTTAATTCTTTTTGTGGAGGTTTTTCTCTTTTGTCTAATTTACCGACTTTTTTTCTTCATTCTACCCTTATATGTCTTCCAAGGTTCCATCTATAGCTATTGTTCTTGTTAACAAGACTTAGTTGAATTGCTGAATCAGAAAAGAGATACCGATTTTGCTTGTAAGGTACATCATTAGCTTTGATTCTTCCTTATTCTGTCCCTTTTTGTTTGATACATAAATATTTTGTTGGATTTTATTCTCAGCAACCAGGTAAAACATCACATTATTGGTACTAGAAAGCTTTGATTATCTTGCTCTACATAGGCACAGTGAATGATGCACATGAGCAAATTCTTAGTATTATGGTATTTACACAATTGTCTTGCCAACATTATTCGAATTTGTTCCTTAGAATTATACTTTGAATTAGATAGAATCCTGAATTATCTAACACATTTTATGGATGATGTTTAAAAAAAAAACAGTCTAGCTTTGACTTTAGGCAGAGTGCCTGATCTTTCTAAACCATACTATATTTTGCTTTTGATTCCATATAAGTATCCTGCTGTGTCTATGAATGCTGTATTTTGGGCTAAAGAACAGATAATACATTCCTATATGATTATATGATTTAGAGAAGCTAAAAAAATGATGATTGAATATACTGAGTTAATTTTTAGCATATCATGGAAGAGTTAAAAATTTGGAGGCTGAAACTTGACTACAACAGTTTGGGGAAAGTATTTGTGTATTAATATATTTTAATTTGGAGGGAAATATTTGTACTAAAGAATATAAACATTTCTTATAAGAGCTGTTTCTATAATGTATATGAGATTAAACTATCTAAAATATTAAAAGTTATATTAACTATTTTTAAGGAGTTAAAAGTTAGATTCAGTTAAATGGGGGATTTCATCTCTTTAGTTAGAGAAGTCTTCATGTTCCCATAGATCATATCCATTCATTCATCATTCACTCTATTTGTCTTTTGTTCCTACCTAATGAAGCATGTTATATGTTTGTTTTGCAGATCTAAAGCGAGAAGCCAGTATCTGTCATATGCTGAAACATCCACACATTGTAGAGTTATTGGAGACATATAGCTCAGATGGAATGCTTTACATGGTTTTTGAATTGTGAGTGTACATTTAATTTCCTAAGGGTAAAGTATTTAACAGCGTTGGATTTGGGTAATGCTAACACTTTTCTCTTAAAGCTTCAAGCCAGTGGTGAACTCATCTGTCTAGAAAGGCCTCAAGTCACAGGAAAAAAATGATTTCATGTCAAGGACCACCATGGCAAAGGAAGCTAACACAGGAAAAGTTCAGTTGCCCTCATACTTCCAGCACTCTTGAGAGAAGACGCTGCAAAAGGAAATCAAGTTCAGAGGGTTAAGAGGACCCAGTGGACTCAAAACATGGGAGTCTTAATGAAGAGAAGTAGGGTTAGATGAGGAATGAAGCTTCGCTGTAGCAGTCCTCTCTGGTAGCTACAAATCAAGTAGTAACTGACTTCATTACCTCTTTCGATAGACTCACCATTTTGCCAAGTGAGGAGGAAAATTCTGGCACAAGCCCCTTGACACATTTCTGAATTTTTATTAGTAAAACAGAGGAATGTGAGCTGAGGGTAGTACTACTGGGTTGAACGATTGTCCAAAGAGATTGGGTAAAATTTGTGGGAGTACATCCACCAGGGTTTTGTCTTTGAACTTTTTGTCCAGACTTATAATCCATGGTCTTCACTGAGAGAGAATAAGGAAGATTTACTTAGATTCCAGAGCTGGAAAGTATTATTCATACAACTTGCGCCAAAACTTAGTGGCTTAAAACAATATGCGGGCCCAGTGCGGTAGCGCAAGTGGTTAAGGTCCTCGCCTTGCACGCCTGGGATCACATATGGGCACCAGTTCTATCCTGGCAACCTTGCTTCCCATCCAGCTCCCTGCCTGTGGCCCGGGAAAGCAGTCAAGGACGGCCCAAAGCTTTGGGACCCTGCACCCGCGAGGGAGACCCTGAAGAGGCTCCTGGCTTTGGATCGGCATAGTATCGGCCGTTGCGGCTCACTTAGGGAGTGAATCATCGGACGGAAGATCTTCCTCTCTGTCTCTCCTCTCTGTATATCCAACTTTCCAATAAAAAAAATAAAATAAAAATAAATCTTAAAAAAAAAAACAATATGCATCCATCCCAGTCTATGTACATTAAGATGTGAATCTAACTTAGCCCAGTCGTCTTGACTCTGCGTCTCTCCTGGGCAGTAAAATTAAGGTGTTAGCCAGGGCTAAAAAAAATTTATTAAGGTTTATTTATTTTTATTTGAAAGACAGGTTTTACACAGAGAAAGAGAGAGAGAGAGAGGTCTTTCACATGCTTATTCACACCCCAAATGGCAGCATGATTGCAGTGGCCAGAAATGAGCCAATGCAAAGCAGAGGCTTCCTCCAGGTGTCCCACATGGGTGCAGGGACCCAAGGACTTGAGCCATCTTCCTCTGCTTTCCCACACCACAGGCAAGGAGCTGGATTGGAAGTGGAGTAGCTGGGATGTGAACTGGTGCCCATTGGAGGATTAACATGCTGTGCCACTGCACTGGCCCCTGGTTGAAGTCTTTGCAAGGCTTCTCTTAGGCGAAAAGATGTGTGTGGTTCTGCTTCCAAGCGTACTCAGGTAGTTGCTGACAGTCTTGGGTTGTTCCTGGGCTGTTGGACTGAGAGCTCAGTTCCTTATGAGCTTGTTGGCCTAGGCTTCCCTTGGTTTCTTATCCATACAACAGCCCGTATCATGGCAGCTAACTTCATCAGAGCAGGCAAGCCACCCACCATGTCGAGAAACAGTGTGAACAAAGTGAAGGCTTTTACCTAACAATCTAATCTCTGAATATCACATTCAGCAAATTCTGTTAGAAAGAAGTCAACAGATCCAACCCACCAAGGCAGGGGAATTCACCCCTCACCAGACCTAAATATAGGAATCATTTTATAAGCTACCCCTGCAAGAGGCATCACCCATGTTCATCATAGTTCATAGATATGCAGGTTTGAAGCAAAGAAGCTGAAACTAAGATGGCCCTTAAGACAAAGTAACACCAACACCTTCCATGAGGTCTAGATTACCGTGGCTTTAGTTGTGACTACTGAGGTGAAGACGACATGAATGTTCCAGTTAGTTGTTTGCCACAGTCTACAAAACCCTGAGCGTTCATTAGGAGTCAGCAGTGTTCCAAGCAAGGCCACAAGGCCTTTGTGCGATGCTCTTTCTCCCATGAGTTCTCGCAGTGAGAAGCAGGACACTGCAGCACTTGCAGAGGAGTAAGAGCCTGGAAACTGAGTTGCAGAGTGACACCTGCACCAGGAACCCTGCTAAAAGACTTGTGAAAACCCATGTACCCACCTCAACAGTAGGTGCTACAGAAAAATGTTGACAGAACATTTTAAGCTGCTACGGAAACGTTTCTACTGTGAGAATGCCATTTTCAGGGTCTTGAGTATTGTTTTAAATGTGCTTCTGTCACAACTATGGAGCTGCACATTTATCTCATTCCTTTTGGAAAATGTCTGCTGTGCAACCTCCACAGTAAAGCTAGTCCTCATTGTCCAGTCAGAGCAGACTCCTGGTCAATTAGAAGAATATAGGACTTCATTTTCCAAATATAAGTAAAATGGAAAGAGACATCCCTAAGACACTCATCTTAGCATCGATTGCCAATTCTCAAATGGATCCGACTTTGTCATGAGGATATTGCCCGGATGAATTAAGGTGGCACCTATCTTTCCCACACTCTGTTTCATTCTCTAGGGTTCCCCATTCTCTGAAGAGCTGTGCATTCCTCAGCCATGGGTGGCACAGGCTTCACAAGGAGGCTTCACCTGTGTCTTTTGACACAGATTGTAGAGAAGATAATACAAAAGCAAATAGGCAGACCACAGGCATTTTTTTCATACAAGTCAAATGATGGCAAACAAAGATAGGGAAATTGGTTGCTTTAAAATTAGCTTTGCACCATAGTCCCTGGAAGGTCCTTTGGACACTACCAGAAATACCCAACTCCCAAGTTAAAGACCATAAGCATGAGTCATTTCCTTCCTTCCTCCCTCCCTCCCTTCCTTCCTTCTTTCCTTTGTCCCCTCCCCTCCCCTTCCCTCCCTTTCCTTTCCCTCCCCTCCTCTCCATATCTCTCCCCTCCTCTTCCCTCCTCTCCTCTCCCTTCCTGTCCCCCCTTCTCTCTTTCCTTCCTTCCTTTCCTCATTTTTTGAACACTTATTTAATTTTCTTTAATTGCTATTTTTTATTTTTCATAATGTGATTCCATAGGCACAGGGTTTCCCCTTCCACGCTCCTCCATCACCCCCCCACACACACACACCACTGTTATTTGAAAGGCAGAGGCAGACTGAGGGCCAAGTGCAATAACTGAATGGCTGGATCCTCATCTGGTGAGTGCTGGGATCCCATATGGGCACTAGTTGATATCCCAGCTGCTCTACTTCCCATTTAGCTTCTTGTTTGTGTTCTGAGAAAGCACTAAAGAATGGCCCAAAGCCTTGGGGTTCTGTACCCATGTGGGAGACTTGAAAGAAGCTCCTGGTTCCTGGCTTCGGACTGGCTCAGTTCCAGCTATTGAGGCCATTTGGAGAATGAACCAGCAGATGGAGGATCTTTCTGTCTCTCCTTCTCTGTAAATCTGATCTACCTTTCCAATAAAAACAACGAAAATATATATATATATATACATTGAAACAGCAGACTTAGTGCAACAAACAGAAAGAGAAAGGGAGAGAGATTAATTTTCAACTCTCTGGCTTACTCCCTAAATGGATGCAAAAGGCAGAACTGGGCTTGACTGAAACTAGGAGCCTGGAACTCCATCTAGGTCTCCCACATGGATGGCAGGGGCTCAGACATTTGAGCCATCCTCCACTTCCTTTCTGGGTGCATAAACAGGAAGCTGGATCAGAAGTAGAGCGGAGAGGACTTAATGAGGTGCTCATATGGAATGCTGACCCCAGAAATTTATTTAAAAACTTGGCAGGGGTTGCTGTGACATAGCATGTTAAATCAGCACCTGCAGCACTAGAATCCCATATTGGCACCAGTTTGAGTCCCAGCTGCTCTACTTCCGATGCAGTCCGCTGTTAATGTGCCTGGGAAAGCAGTGAAAGATAATCCAACTGCTTGGGCCCCTGAACCCATGTGGGAACCTGAAAGAAGCTCTAGGTTTCTGACTTTGGCTTGGCACAGCCCCACTGTTGTCGTTCATGGAGTGACCCAGGGGATGAAACATCTCAATCTCCCTCGCTGCCTCCTCTTCCCTCCCTGCCCCTTCCTTCCTCTCTCCTCTTTCTTCCATTCCTCCATCTCTCTCTCTCTCTGTCATTGCCTTTCAAATAAATAAATGAATACTTTAAAAAAAAAAAAAAAGAAACAATTAGAGTCTTTCATCCCACCGTGGATGTATTGGTTTTCTTATTCTGCTACAAATCCTCATAGCAGAAACCTACAGGTAGGACATAAACAATGCTATTTGAAAGATCACCTGATATAAGAAGTGTATGTGCTCTTCAGTGTAGTGTCAGAGACTCTAACAAGAATCAGAAAGTGATATATTTCACCTGTAAGTCAAGAAAGCTTCTTTCACAATTGTGCTTAGTTTGTGAATGAATAGGTGGTTTCACAAGCCATCTCCAGATGTAGTTCCTCCCTGGAAATGGAGAAGCTAAAAAATGTGGTCTTTCCATAGGGACAAAAAATAAGGTTTTAATTTTGGGCTGGAGAGGACCTCTGGTGCCCCTTCCTATTTTAAAATACCATAATTCATTTCTTAAAGATTTATTTATTGGAAAGGCAGATTGACAGAGAGAAAGAGAGACAAAGAGCTTCCATCTTCTGGTTAACTCCCAAAATGGCCACAATGGCTGGAGCTCGGCCAATCCGAAGCCAGGAGCCAGGAACCTCCTCCTGTTTTCCCACGTGGCTGCAGGGTCCCAAGACTTTGGGCCGTCCTCGATTGCTTTCCTAGGCCACATGCAGGGAGCTGGATGGAAATGGAGCTGCTGGGACATGAATCGGCACCCATATGGGATCCTGGCATGTGCAAGGCTAGTATTTAGCCATTGAGCCACTGCGCCTGCACAGAT